TTTCTGTTTTTTCAGCCGGCAAGCCTCAGCCTCCAAGACCAGTACGTCCTTTGAAACCAGTAGGTAAGCAGGCCGAGAAACTCTAACCTTTTTATAACACCCACTTTTCTATCAAGTGAATTTCATTCTTTTCAGTCAAATTCCATAAATACATTCGAGATTTGATGTAGGCAGCTCCACAGTTAACATTTCGAGTGGCAGCCCTTTCGGATTAGCTCTGCATATCGCAGTAACTCTTCTCTCCTCTAGATACCAGAAATCCCTACCATTTATAGAAGGAACTGGAAATTTATTCCCCGAAATATTAAAAGTGATTTTCTGAGTATTTAGTATAGAGTCTTGTCGTTTTAGGTAGTCAATCTGACCTGGAGCACGTAACTCTTGAGCAAATGCATTATTTCTTGTTACTAGTATTATTTGTGCACCAAAACCGAACCTAAAGAAGTTATAAATGTGATAAATAAGTTATAAATGTGATTTTGCAAGCATAATTTTAGCTTAAGGCAGATGACAAAGAGCCTGAAAACTTCAACCTTCGGGGTTTCAAACCCTTGCCTTTGCGATTACTGGAATCAAGGCGTGTCAAGCAAAGAAAAACCGCTGTAGGGTTGTTAATTGTCGCTTGGCCACAAGAAAGCTTTCTTCAAATGGATAAATTGCCAGCGGGCTAATTATTCACTTTCCAAGCACTTCTATGATTGCGCAAACCTCGCATTTTAAGCTTTTCAAGTATAACATCTTATTGCGTAATATTTCCCATCCAGTTATTAAGAGAGCTATGGCCGTTTATCCACTCAACCGTAACACGAAAGGGAGAGACATCAGTTTCTCAAGAAACCCCCATGGACGACTGAGGGGTGTCAGGTACGCCTTAGGTCCTGACAACTCGCGGGGAAGCTCGGTTGAGTTTTACGGTCGCAGTAACAGCTACATCGAGTTCCCAAACCGAGGGAAAATCGACACTAGGCGCTCAATAACGCTGTTAGCCTGGATTTACCACATTGGACAAGCAGGCCCCATCTTCAACTATATGCCGAATGGCTGGGGAGTCCACTTCTGGATGGTGTCCCCAACAACGCTGTTTGCTCGGTTCACACGTCGAAGAGGCAGGCGCTTCACGCCAGCTATTTATAGCCGAAGTGTGCGACGACGGAAATGGCAGTTTGTCGGTGCAACGTACAACTACAGGACCGGCATGGCGCGACTCTTCCTGAACTCAAGGTTTGTTGCTCGAAAACGCATTGGAAGATTTAGGCTGGCGACAAACTACCCCGCAAGAATGGGAGCTCGCATCGGAGACCGGAGATATTTCCGAGGTCGAATCTCCTGTATGCAGGTATACAATCAAGCACTAAACAAAAATCAGATCCTGGTTCGTCAGAGGAGGTGTTTCAGACCAGGTAATAGTCAGTTAAGCATTTTATCGAAGGATTTCTCAAACAATCCACAGTTTTTACAGACCGAGACATTTACTCTTTAAGTTGTTCTCTGTGTATTTTACTAAATGCAGCTTTCTTAACAAAGGTGCTATTTGAAAGCCTGAATGAATGTATTCTGACTTATGGAAATACAAATCTACAGTTTTTGTCATTTTATTTGTAGTGTTTTCATGGTGAAGTTAATCACACTCTAATCGTCTGATCTTGACGTCTGAAGAATCTTTCTGCTTGCGCGATGTTCTGCTTGATGTTATTTCTTCTATAAATGACAATGGCATTTCTTTTAATTTTTTGTAAGTTATTTCTCCTCTTTTTGTATCACCCAATGTTTAGTTCCCGTTAAACCCAAACCAAGACCCGTCAGACCTATAAAACCAGTCAGGCCACCAAACAGGCCAAAAGGTAGGTGTGATGCTGCTCCTTACTCTTGTTATTTAAGCTAGGAGCGGACTTGAAAGTGTTAGTGTTCATTCAAAGCATTTTTAAATTATCCGTTTCTGACTTACCGTCAATCCTCCGGCTAATTCTTCATAAAGGGCTTGCACCGGCCAAATTTGGAAGATGTTTGAGTTCACGGCTATGCGAAGAAGAAATAGCCGAATTACTGACTTAATATGATAGTAAGAATACTCACGAATTTTTCTCGATGAATGTGAATCGCTTTTTTGGTAATATCTGCACAGAAAAATACCCCCCCCCCCC